AGATATCAGTGGAAATGTTCACAATTGACTAATCCTTATGCAAATTAGATAATTAATATGCATGAATTTTAACCAAAACCTAATTGAATCTATGCATTAGTCCAGAACATCTATGCATCAAGTTTCATTAAAAACCAACATGGTTCTTGAGGTATCAGTGGAACAGACACGGACATACATACAAACGCACTAACTGCAAAGACTCCCATTGTGTGCCTCGCACATGAGAGTCAAAAATGATGTACCAGGTACATCAAAGTCCACTAATTTCGTCCCAGTTATGAACTAAATCTCTCCATGCACAACAGAGGTCCATAATAACCACCATTCAACCTTGAATTTGATAGTAAAACAAGTAGACGTGCTTATGTATCCTAAGATGTATTGATGTATGTGTGAAGTTTGAATGTGATTAGTCAAGGCATGTCTGAGATACAGGTGTGAATGCACAGACATATTCACAGAGGTCAATCTTTCAGACTGCATCCAGACAGGGACTAAAATAAGAAACAGGTGTGCAAGTGCATTATGGGTAATGAATTTTCTACATTTTGATTACCTTTCCTGCATCACTTTCCAGCTTAAAAGCATTTTGCATTGCAGACGCTAAAAACACGAAATATGCCGCAAATCTTAAAAGTTATATGACTGCGACCGAATTAATTGGGCTTGTTCTTTGGAGGGAAAGAGAATTAAGAAGCTGGGATAAAAAATAAAATTCCTAATAATTCAAATTCCAAGAGCAATTTTGGAGGAGACAAATAGACACAGGTAGCTTACAGGTTTTTGATCAACAGTTTTTACATCGGATATTGAGCATGAATACATTTTAGATGATGACAACAATTGTGAACAGTCTATAAAATTAGTTCTAGCTGTTGCATGACATAGAAAGTCCAAAAGTTCTATCAACCAATGAGCAGAGGAGTGGAAATTCACTTATGTGACATATTGTACAAATTGTATCCTGACTGGAGAGTAAAAAAAGAATTTGGAGTACACGACACCAAGTATTTTGTCATGAAATTAACGACCTAAAACATGCAATTGTTTCCTAGGTTACATTTATTAAAGTCAAACTGGAGATCAGCTGCCTGGTTGTTTCTGTTGTTGTTGAAGTTGTTTCATAACTTGTTCATCCTGCATAGATTTCTCTGTCAATTTCTTTCCAATTCTTTCATGAACTTCTAAGTATTTAGCTACACATCTGTCGAGGCAGACTGATTCTCCCTTTGTTAGATCACCTTCTTTGTATTTGGGTGGGACACACTTCTTTTGACAGGCTGTTGTCATTCTGTTGAGTGAAAATTGGAATTAGTTATGTAATAATAATAATAAGTTTGATTACAACATAATGAAATAACAAATTCATTTTGGGCTGAACGTAATAAAAGTAAAGATAACAAGTAAAAATCGAACGTTAACATAAGATCAGGTCAGTAAAAATTCAAAGCAGTTTGTGTTTTTCAAAACACTATCATATACCGTGTACTGCATTCTAATTAGTTTAGAATGGTTAGTATTGATAAGGATAATAAACTTATTGATATTGTTTTCAGACTGGAAAGTGGGGATTTCCTTAGTAAATTCAGCATATATAGTATCTCTTTCATCAGTGTAATAGCTACAGTCTGTAATCAAATGAACTTCATCTTCAATACTGTGTTGGTTTTGTCATGCACACACAGACAGATTAAACCAGAGATATTCATGTATATTTAGTCCCTGTTCGGACACAGTCCGAAAACAGGGACTTATATTTTGACCTCCGTGTGTCCGTGCGTCTGTGTGTGCGTCCGGACCTGTATCTTAGAAATGCCTGGACCAATCACAATCAAACTTCACACATACATCATACATGATATTATACATAATGCACGTCAATTTGTTTCACGATCTGATTCAAGATGGCCGAATGGCGGCCATTTTTGTGCTAAAAATCATCAAAATTAAGCATTTCTCGGCTGTTTACAGATGGATTTTGTTCAAACTTTGTATATACGTTAGACATTATAGGACCTTGATGCACATCATTTTGTTTTACGATCTGATTCAGGATGGGCGAATGGCGGCCATTTTTGTGCTAAAAAATCCTAAAAATCAACCATTTCTCGGCTGTTTATAAATGGATTTTGTTCAAACTTGGTATATACATTAGACATTATGGGACCTTGATGCAAATAATTTTGTTTTTCAGATAAGATTCAAAATGCCTGACTGGCGGCCATTTTGTTTTAATGATTGGGCTTCTCGAGCTTTGACTTATTATATTTAAATTTTATATATTCGTTATACGTTATATATATACATGTAATCAAAATGGCTGATTTTGAATGCTGTTCCAGAGCAATATCTCTCAATATGGACATGTACTTGTTTGACGATCAGATACAACTGTCAATCATTTTAATGTTAAAAAATCATATTCCTGTCATGGTTATATTCCAGCTATATTACTATAAACAAAACTATATATCTTAAATTTGATAACTAACGGGGACTGTGCCATGCATGGCTTGTTATAATTTATCTTCCTAGTTTAGTATATCACTATGTAGTGATCAGGCATCACCCTTATGAATGAAAGTTTTTTTGTCTTGCTAAATAAAAAGGTTGTACAAAGCATAGTAGTCAGTAGCTGCATCATGTCCTGCTAGATACAGGTCCCATACATCATGTCATGTGACCATCCCTAATGATTGAGAAAGGAGGGCATATAAGACCAAAGGTTAAAGTTGAACACAGGATCTGTACAAGATGCAACACAGATTCAATTGAGAATGAATTTCATTATGTTAGGAAATGCCCACCAGGGATTTTTTAAACAGCGCCCTCATGCCATGGCCATGCGCCCCATTACCCTGGGGAGCAGATCTTCTGGCAACCATAAAATTCTGATTGACCAGGGGTCACATGCGACCCCAGTCTTCAACTGTGACCTGTCTGATAGTAATTTTGGCCTAAAGGATGCCATAGAATGCTCCATTTTAACATAGAATTATCAAAAACTCCACACCCTGGTAGGGAGAACCCTATCTCCCCCACTTGGTGGCGCCGCTGAATTGCAGTGCTCCCTCTTGCGTTTTTTTTCTAGAAAAACCCTGCCTACAACATATTACAATTAGGAGCAAATTGTTTGACTCAATTAGAAATAAAACTGTTAATTTCCATTTGATGGATGAAGAGTCAAAATTTAAATACATTATGGGCAACATTTCCACATTAATACAGCTTGGCATTTTTATAAAAGAAAGTATGGTAATGTGATATAGTAATTATCAATTCTCTGATTTTTCCAAGCCCATTTGTTAAACCTTTTTAGTATGTTTTATTTTTTATTTTTATGTATTGTTATTTAGTTATAGATTTGACTATGTTCTACTCAAAATGAATATTGTTATTATTATTATTATTATAATTATTGTTGTTGTAACAATTGATTACACATTCTGGTTCAAAAAAGTTGTGAGAGCAGCAATCAAATGTTAGAACGCTTACACATTTTGTAGAGTAAAGCATAGAAATATCAAATCTACACTGTGAACATTTAAATAAGATTGGCAATGACGTAATAGGAAAGGAAATGTGCCTTGTCTTGGTAAAACTTTGTTAGGTCAGAAAGATGGAAGAATGAATGCAACCCCAAATAATAAGTCTTCATTTCAGACTACGTTCAATGGGGACTATTAACAACTCGAATAACTTGAAACAATATAATTTATTTTTAATGCAACTTACAAGGTACAAACTTTAATGCTTCTGTCATACCGTTGAAGTTTTTGAAAACATCTATTAGTCCTCGAACCCTTCTATTATCCGCCCTTGGCAGTAATATTTCAGGGTCATCTTATATCGATCGCCTACTTCTACGTATTCAGTCTAGATCTTCAAGATGTGAAAATGTTGTCGTTAAAAAATACGAGACCAAGTAATCTCGAAAACTAAGGGGGACTATAGGGCCATAAATAAATAAATCACGATCCTGACCTGTTATACATATCAGCCATCATTTCTATTTCCAGTTCAGCCACTAGCTGCATTTGCGATTGAGTCATGCCACCAAAAGCCATTTTTACTAGTTTTTCGTTTCATAAAATTGATGAAATCTGACGAAAGGACTGTAGCCTGCTTAAAACCGGTGTACCATGTGGCTTCTTCTCACGCGTGATTTTAAACACTCTTCCGGTTCCAGAAGATATTACTTCCGGGTCACAAGGCTGATACAATTAGCAAGCAGTTACCCAGTGGGGAAAACAGAAATTCATGAATCTATATAACAGTTTGCCAGGATTATACTATGCATTTTTTCAGAAAAACTAATTTTGAGCATTTTTTTCAAATGTTTTCAGTAGTTGGCATTTGATTCATATTACATTGAGCTAAAATGAATCATTAAGTTCATATTTATCCGCGGTCGGTAGAGGGGAGTGAACGTTCTGCTGGGACAGCTCTAAATAAAAAAAAATATTTCGTTACCGGAGTTTCCAACTCCGAGAAATGTATTCCGCTTACTGCCGTTTTAACAACCTTTTACTCAAACTTACACTCTCACGATGATGCCACGGAGTTATTGTTAGCCAAAAAACTAGTGGGAGTGTGTTGAACGGTGAATCATTGGTGATATTCAACATATTACGAATTACGAATCATTCGATAGCTGCTTTCTCGATCTAGAAATTCGGTCTATTGACTATTGTGTTTAGTAAGTTCTATTTTCATATCCCGTTTCCCGATAATATTGACAAAATGATGGACGACAAGGAAAGCGATGTGGAGACCCAGCTTTGCTCTAATTGGTAAGTCTGAAAATTTGTTTTGCTCTTTAATACTACGATCGAACCCTAATCCTTATGATGTATGTTGTCGGCTAACGAAGCGCGAATGTGACCGATTTGAATACAATGCAATACGATTTGATACGGTGTGTTGGTTAGTCTGAATAAAAATGTACAAATTCAAATCAGGTGCATATCCTACTAATAATACAATATCAATACTATGGTAGTACGTAAAATAATTCTGTGTTCGCAAGCTTTGTTCTTCCTTAGGTGTCTTTTAAGACCAAATGTTTTGAATTTTGGGTTAGAACAGTTTTCTATTTTTTATTCCATTTAGTGCTAAGGTGAGTGAAATATATGTAACTTGTTTTTGTCATGCAACTGTACTGAAAAATAAAACGTCAGGCAGACACACTGTAAATCGTGTACACAATGGTCAAAATCTAGTACTAGTATTTAAAAACTAAATCACAGTCCCTAGAGAGACACTATGTCTAAATATATGAATTACCGGTATTAAGGATTTATAATATAAGGGTACAATGTTGGCAACTCTCATGTGTTTGCTGATATGCAATAAATATCTTACAAGAAGCAAACTCTTTGTGCTTTGCGAGTACTTGAAAGCGATCGCATATTCTGTGCGTCAACCACATGTATTTCCAACCAATAGCATTGATCACAGAATGCAATGGATGCTTGGAAAGGTTCTGTTGCATCAAGAGTAATGTGTGAGATTATTGCCCCATTAAAAAATGCATGAATAAGCAAGAACACTCAAAAACTGTACAATGTAAACACTAATCAGTTCATTCACAGACCCACTAATTTTCATGAGATTGTAGGTTTGTGATTTTGCGATCAATTATTTGTGTGCCCTTATCTTATGAGTCCTTTTGTCTAACACTACAAGCCTTCCAGTATGAGACGTTCCATATATGATGTTTATAAAATCTCAGTTTTGACCACCACAATAAGATATTTCCCATTCACTGTGTGAGAGGTGCAGACAAAGAATCAAATAATTTTATTTTAAATTTAAATTTAATTTTTTTAGTTCAGTGTCGAAATGGTGATCTTTCAGAGAGGAATATGGCATTGAGATGCTGTAGAATACTTTATTTTCGCTTGGAATTAATTTTTGCTATTTTCGCTGAAGGTATGATTCAGTGAAAATAAAATCCAGCGAATATACTTTTTTTCCTATATTTTACATTCAACTTGACAAAAATCAGTGAAAATAAATTCCATAGAAAACACCCAAATAGTCGTTTCAGCGAAAATTAATTCCAGCTAAAATAAATTATTTTACAGTACCTTTACTTCAGCAAAATGACCTTCATCAGTACATTATTCAGCTGGAAATACTTTCGTGTTAGTAAACTCCCACATGATGTTTGGATACAATTACATAGCTATGACCTTTGTTTGTTCTTTTTTTTTACATTTGATTTCACACATACATGTAACAAGAGATCATACAGTGACTACAAAATTGTCTATTGCCACAATATCTATCCATTGATATTTAGTATGTAACACATTTTTTCTTATGAATACATGTAATTTATTATATAAAGTCTCATTTATGAAAATTGAGACCCATATGAGCTCTCTTCTATACAAATGTATAAGTATCAGGGAATACTTGTATGAAATTTGGTAATGAAATTTGTGCATTTACCCTACCTAAACTCAACTTGACTAGCAATGATTTTTTTTAATTTCCAATTTTACATACTGAACAGTAAGATTAATTAACCACGGCACTATAGTATTTTAAAGTCAGAATAAGGTTTTTTTGCCATGTATTGACATTAGAATAGGTCATTTAGGTATCAATTGGAGGCAAACGAGATCGTGTCATCATGGATATGTATTGTTTAGTATTATTATAATCAAATATTACAGTTTATCAAAAGATTAGACAGATGTTATATTTTTATTATCTTGTTTTCAGATTAAAAAATAAAAATTCATAACAATTTTGAACATCGCAATTTCTATAATTTTCACAAATTTTAAAATTAAATATTTTATTTGGAACAATACCAGACTAAAAGTCCAAGGAAATCAAAATAAAACAAAATAAAATTAAAATATTTTTAAGATATAACATTCTTTATATTTTTGTCATTACTAAAAAAAAACTAAAACAACTAAATAATGGTTTCCACTCTTGCTACATGACCTTGTTCTTCATGCACACTATTATTTATCAGAAAATACAGCTGAGCTTTATATTTCTAACTACAAGGCCTTTCAGGTATATGATTGGCCTTAGAGAGTTGAGCTTATAGTGGAAGTCATTGCAATCTATCATGTTTTTTTTTTCTTATGTGATATATAGCACTGCTGTTCTCTTTACTCCAATTACCCTGATTTATTTTCCAATTTTGTCAAGTTAATGACATTTAAGAAAAGGATAATCATAAGACTTACTCATGGTTGTAATGTGGCCGTCAACTATTATTATTATTGAGGTCACTGTGTGTTGAGTTGGATACTGTTACCTTGTGTGCCATGGTTAATGTCTTATGTGTAGTTACTTGGTCTGTTGACTCTATTATTCACTGCATTGTAAGGTATTGCAATGAGGTTATACCGGTACTAAAAATTCATACATGTTATTTTCTTATACGAGTGCTGGACGAGGTCGCATATTTATCTTCATAATCGCCATAAAATCATCAAATTACGAAAACTTCTAGCAGTGAAAGTGTGGTTTACAGTATTACTATGATAGTTTTTGAATATTTGAGTCAAATAAAAGACTGACCATTGGAAATTCTGGGGCAGATTTGGAAAAATGTGAAAAAAAATAATTTGCATACATTTAGCAAAAAGTCCTGTACGGAACAAAAAAAAAAACATTCTGGATACCTAAATCTTAGATAAAAAAAATTCCACAATTAAAAAGCAAAATATAGCAAATTCAACAACAAAAAAACAATGTGAAGAAAAAACCAACATTTTGTACAGTTTTTCTGTCATTGTCCCGTCCCTCCTTCAATTTCTAATGGTCCACCCCTACTTACCTACCTACCTACCTACCTACCTACCGTGTGTCTGTGCGTGCAGACATGCATGGACCAATTTCATTCAAACTTCACACATACATCATACATAATATTATACATATGCACATCAATTTGTTTCACGTTCTGATCCAAAATGGCCAAATGGCGGCCATTTTTTTTTCAAATATCAAGCATTTCTGGCATTTATGGATGGATTTTGTTCAAACTTCAATTCTAGAGCCATTACTCTGACATGCTTTGACTGACTATGTTCAAATAGATGTATTCAAAATGGTCGATTTTGTTTTAATTAATGCTGTTCCAGAGCAATATTTCTGAATATGTGCAATATGTGTGTGTGTGTGCGATTGGAAAATGTAATTGGCAAAAAACTGACAAAAATATAAATGTATGGATCTCTATTCTCTAGGTACAATGTACAGTGTATGCTAATGAAAAAATGATGATGTCTTCATTTTTTTTATCTTATGAAGTACAAGATCTCAATCATATTAATGTTAAAAAAACATAATCATATTCCTGACATGTTTATATTCCAACTATATAACAAAACCATATATCTTAAATTCGATAACTAACTGGGACTGTGCCATGCATGACTTGTTGGTCAATTGTCAGGTGATCAGAATGTTGATTTAAAAGAATACAGGTACAAATGTAATCTTTTTGCACACTATACTCAGTAAGAATTTGACATCTCATGAAAAGAACCATATGTACATGGGTATTATAATGCTGTCATTCCGAGAGTGAATATGAAACTTGTATCTTAGTAATTCACAATAAATTCATTATTTGTCATGTATTTATATTATACCAGTAGGCTTGAGGTCACCCTCTTATTGGAATGACCTTTGTAGTACATGAACCTACTCCATTCCATTTTTAAATTTAGATTTGTATTGAATGAATTCGTATAGACACCGGGGAGGAGGGGGGGGGGGGGGTATTAATTTGGATCAAGCTAAGAAAGGACATTTTTATAGGGGAATCGATACAGTGAATTTCATGAAGCCATGAATGTTTTTTATGTAAAATATTTATAAATTTTTAAAATAAATTTTAGGTTGTTATGTAAAAAAAAATCCTGGACAAGGAAATAATAAATAGGTAACACCTGCGTTTAAGTATTCTGATAACAAATATTGTCTGTCTGTCTGTCTGGCACATACTGATACATTATAGATGCACTGGACATTGTATACCATTTTAGATTGTCACCATGTACTTTCAGTCCCTACATATTCATTTTCACTAGGATTTAATTCTAGTATTTTGATATGTTAAGTGGATTTTAAACAATCAATGTTATTATGTAATTTTAAAATATTGAAATTTGAATAATTACTGCATTTACAGTATATCCGAAGCCAATTACATGTAAACTATGCAAACACATGTAATGTGTAATGAGTCTGAGTATGAAGACAGCATTCACATACGATTGACGTACGTTTCGCATAAGATTGACGTGCGATTCGCGCACTATTCACATACGATTGATGTACAATTCGAACTCCCATTGAAATACGTATAACTTAGGGAAAAAATATTACACACAGAAGAAAGACAAAAAAATTACAGCAAACTCATCACTGAACAAAACAAATTAGTATCAAAAGGTTCACCCCTTATAAATAGTTCCACAGTCACATCTGCGTATCACACAAATTTACAGTTTCAGAAGTCTCCCTCACATCAGAAGTTACCTGAGCCCAAATCCCACAAAAGCAAGTATTAAACAATTATAGAAATGTATAAGCAACCCATAAATATGATTAAAGGAATATTAAACATATGTAAATAATATTGTCCTCAAATTATCCCCACCCAGTGCTTAAAAAAGTAAAACAAACAAATGCTGATGATATTTTTATTTACAATTATTTTTCTTTGACTCTCTTCGTCACATACCAGATGCGTCAAGAAACTGTCATGCGCACTGGAACTATTTATAACCTGATATTCTTAAGAAAATATTAAGTTGATCTTTATTTTTCCACACAAAGATATTATTACATTGGCTCAAATTGCTATAACATTCGCGTGAATTATAGGTATTTTAATGGAAGGAATGGATGAATCGTGCGTCAAACGTACATGAATAGTATTCGAATTGTATGTACCTAAATCAAACCATACGCTATCTTTTCTCTCATAAGACTTTATGTATTTGAGTGACACCTGTTTGTTTGCAGTTATTTCTTCTTGTCAGGACTTACATCAGGTTGATGATGTTCTAGTACCATAAGTTGATGACATTCATCTTCAAGGTCATTTATAAGATTAAATAAACCACAGTTAGAAACTGTGATTAAACCATAGACCCTCTAAAAAGATTAAACCAACTTCATCTCTGAGATAGCAGCATGGAATCATGGCACCCTATTGTTCAGATTGATTACATTAAACAAACAGTGGTCTTCAATTGTTTTCCCAACTGTATTTTTTCATGCATATTTATTTATTTAATCACTTAACCTCCCTTGGAATGAATGATAATGGATACAATGTAGAAAAATACAAACAAGAAATACATCACACTCATGTCAAAGATAAAAAACAAAAACAAAAAACAGTGATTAAAAAATCCAAGAATTGGGAAGTTCATTATCAATATCTGGGAGGTGTTACTGTCATAGGTAACTTTGTTGTGAGATACGAATGTGGCTATATAGACCAACCTACCAATCAATGCATACTGCATATTGGTCTTAATTAAAATACCAACAATTGTTTTGCAATTTCATCAATGACTTTAGTTATTGCTATTTAAGACAAGTTCAAGCTGTAACTGATATTTTATTTATAGATTTAACAATTCTCCAATCACAGTTTTATAATAATTTAAACCATTCCATCCTGACAGATTCAATAAACGTAGTTGTAACAATGTTACACTGTAATATATTATTATGCAAATGAGTCTCCATGCTGTTATTTAGAGATGTTTCACAGCATGCGTATAGATTTATATACTGAACACATATGGTGCATGTATGTGTTTTGATAAATAGTCAAATTACTAACTGACAATAATTGTTTTTAATATTGAAATTATTTCTGCGTTAAAATCAATCACAGGTGGTACAATGTACAATGGTACTGGATTGCTAATACATGTACATGGTACAGTAATTTAGGGCATTTCAATAATATTTATTTGTTTGTTTGTTTGTTTGTTTGTTTGTTTGTTTGTTTATTTAGTTATTTGTTTATTTGTACATGTGCAGTATATGTGCGTGTGTGTCATTTGGAAAATGTAATTGGTAGAAAACTGACAAAAATATAAATGTATAGATCTTTAATTACAATGTATGCTAGGGAAAAAATGTTGATGCCATCGTTTTTTTTTTTCTTATGAAACTGATGTCATTGTTTTTTTTTTCTTAAGAAACTGATGTCATTGTTTCCTTATCAGGGAACTGTGATGTCATCATTTTTTTCACAAACTATTGCACATTACAGATAACAACTATTACAATACAATACCGATAACAAGTTCATTTTATATTATCAGTTTTTCTGCCAGTATAATTACACACTGGGAGGACTACACATGCATTGTACAAAGGGTGTGGTTTTATAGGATTCCAATGATATACATATATAGTTACTGTACATTACTTGACTCATCAGGGACATCTGTATCATTTATAGCGTACTCGTCACATATATAAATTAATTAAAACATTAACAGCCATAGTGCTAAAAATATACATACATGTACTGTGACATGTTCAAAAAAAAAAAAAAAAATCGGCTTCCCAGAGTTTGAAAAATTAAGCAAAGATTGTAAGTTTGGTTATTTATTTATTGTTTATTTATTTATTGATTGCTATGGATACTCATCTGATAATACACAGTATTTTTATTATATTTTGAAAAAAAAGTAGATGATAACTGTAGTTAATAATGTCCATACTACTATTTCTAGTCAATGTTTTGTCAAATAAAAAAAAACAGGTTGTAATATTATATACAAATATTTATACTTTTGTTTGTTTCTATCCACTTTGGAAATTTATTTTGAAAGAAATGTATTTTAAATTTAAATATTTATCTTGTACATGCTAGTCACAGAGTTGACTTCTAACAGTGAACTATTATTATAATGACCTATAATATTCATTAAAATAGTTATTTTATTATGAATATTCATATTATGAAATCAACTATTTTTAAATGTCATTCATAAAACCTAATAGGTAGGACCATGTCAATCTCATGAAACCTCAATGGTAAGTTAGATTGTATTATGTGACATGTTGTGAGTGAGATGGTGTTGTCTTTGTTACCTTTGTATGTACAATATACATTCAGAATTGTCACTTTGTGCTTTGTCTCTCTCAAAATTATAGTGGTTTACATTCTTACAATTGTTGAATACTACCAGCATTTAAGTAGAAATGATGAGTTACCCACCATTACCATTATCAATGAAGTTGATTATAGAAAGTATATACATGTGACTCGCAATTATCCGTGTGTGTGGCGGTCATAACAATTCCATTAAGAATAAATTTAATATAATTTACAGTACCTGCAACCATGCCAAGTTTCTATGTGTTCATTTTGGAAATAAGCCAGGATATACATGTAGGGGTTATACTTGTCACCGTCTTCCCCATACAATAAGATTGGTTATAAACACTAGCACAACCAGACTTTGGTCTTACAGTGTTTTTTTTTTTTTCAAGTTTTCTGTGATGTCTCTATTAAAAGGAGAAATATTGACTTGGTTAATTTTAGCAGGTTTAGTGTTACAGGAATACATTGTGTATATGTCGTTAATGTAATTTTAATATTCACTGGATTTTTAAGTGAAAATAAAACACTAGTCTCAGAACCAGCTCAATAAGTGAAATTAAAGGGTCAAAGTTAGCAGTGGTGGTACAGGGTTAAGGGTCAAAGTTGACAGTGAAAGGTTAAATCAGATTATTATTTGGAAAAACTATTCCTGAATTGGTAATGGAAACTTACCTAGCTGGTATCTTTAAAAAAAATGGGAAATATTAAATTTCTACATACCTTGTATTTGTTATTGTGCAGCAATATGTAATATCAATCTTGTGATGATAAGAGATTGTTTCTATGGTGACAAAGATACATTGTAGTTTGATTCCCCTACAGCATATTACTTCACTGTGGAAGACATGTTTTATGGACAATCTAAACTTGAATAAAAATTATAATAACTGGAAATTAGTTCTGTCATTTTGCATACATACCAGTACTCGATTTTCTGTTGCGTCAATAACATCACAGCAAATATTTTTGCTTCAGTCGCACTTCATATGGACTTAGAGGGGACACTGTGTATTACATACAATATAATGTTTATTATTGGCGACACTTTTTAGGACACTCGGCTCAGAACCAGCCCAAATTTGCCTTTGCTTGTAGCCTATTGAAGTAAAAATTGCAGTTCATGAACGAGAAGGGCATTTTTTACAGAGAGATGTGCATATCTTGGGCCAGGTATGTTTTCTGCTCTGTGTGTACCATTTATGTTTTGAACGATCAGTGTAGGCTCTAGGCAATATATTAACAATTAACCCCTATTAAATTAAAGATTTTGTTTTTTTGCAGCAAACGAGACATTCCATCAGCAAATTTTATGATGCACCAAACTCATTGTCATCGAAATATAATCTTATGTAAATCCTGTAAAGAACCGGTACCAAGGAGTGAAATGGACAACCATGTTGAAGAGCAGCATGTAAAGGTATTGACATAGCTATAGAGTTCATATAATTAGCTTCATCTAGCGACGAAACACCTAGCGACGAAACATCTAGTGACAAAACATATAGCGACAAAACACAGGTATACGGCAAAGGTTACGGTTACGTTGCCTATGACTACACATTCTGGTCCACTCTGTACCAAATATATGAATGAAATGCAGTATCATCAAAAACATAAGAATTTGTACGAAATTTCTTGCGGTACCATCTATAACACATTATCAAATGTGGCCACCTCTTTTAAAAGGGAAAACAAATATTGTCACCATTGGGAATAACTTATTAAAGGAGGGTATTAGAGTTGTATTATTTATTTTTCATTGGTATGTAAATTTGGCCATGAACCAAATTCAGTATTTACAGCATTCGCAAGATATGCTTGTTGATTTCGTTATTCAACCAATGAGTTATTTTCTATCTGGATAACCTAAAATCCCATAAATTGCTTCGGTGTTCGCTAAACACAGCTACCGATAATCTATGACGAACAAAATGTAAGTGATGTTTGCTCAGACGCAGCTCAGTATAAAAGAGTTTCTATAAATTCTGGAGAAAGAAGCCGAATATTTATATAGAAAACAACTGATGTGCTGCATCACATTATTAGTCCCCGTTCGGACGAAGTCCGAAAACGGGGACTTATAATTCGGTCTCCATCCATCTGTGCTTCTGTGCGTTCGTCCGGAGTCATATCTCAGAATCCCTTGGACCAA